ATCTGTTTAGACTTTTCATCTTGTAAAACGATGCAAATATACTACTTGAACAAAACCTTCGAAAAAATTCCAAATTGTCACCCAACGCCATCAATGAACTAGTTTCACTATTAAATACGATATTAAAACAGAACTACTTCCAGTTTCAAGATAAGTTCTACTTACAAAATGACGGCCTAGCCATGGGCTCCCCCCTCTCCAGCATTCTTTCTGAAGTATTCTTAAACCACATCGAGAACCAGCACTTGTTTACTGACTCCAACCGATATAAGAACAAAATAATTTTCTACTATCGATATGTAGACGATACCATTGTCCTGTTCAATGGTAACAACAGACAGCTATCCCTTCTAAATGCTTATTTATGCCATATTCACAATAATATTAAGTTTACACTAGAAGAGGAGAAAAATAATTCCATTAATTTTCTGGACCTTACCATATCAAAACATAGTGACAGCTTAAAGTTTAAAATCTACCGAAAACCCACCTGCTCCAATCAAACAATACATTCAGATTCACACCATCCATTTTCACAGAAATTAGCCGCATACCATTGTTTTGTAAATAGATTGTTATCAATTCCAATGAGCACGGACGATTACAACGAAGAGATAAACATCATAAAACACATTGCCGTCTCCAATGGATACACGACCACGTTAATAGATAAATTAATTTTGAAACACCAAAACAAAACAGAAAAAGTGAACCAAAATAAAAAGTTCTTATCAGCTGACTATAATTCATGCCTTAGTAATAAATTCAAAACATTAATGAGGAAAAATAACATAACAGTATCCTTTAGAACAAAAAACAATCTGGGACCACTTCTGAAAGAAAGACCAAGTACAACTAAACTTAAATATGAAAAAAGTGGTGTTTACAAAATCAACTGTTCAGATTGTAATAAATATTACATAGGCCAAACTTCCCGCTCTTTCTCCAAACGCTTTAAGGAGCACATACCAAAGAAGACTACCTCAAAACAAACTTCAACCTTTGCCGAACATTTAATTTCTCATCAGCATAATTACAGCAGCATTAATGAAAACATGGAAATTTTACATACGTCACAGGACAAGTTTAAAATTAACACCCTGGAAGAATTCGAGATTTATAGAGCCGTCAAATCAGACATGGATAACGTTTTAAACGACCAACTTTATTTTAATTCAAACATCATATACAACACTGCAATAGAAATACTGGAGAGGGAAGGGGAGGGCAGAGACAATGGGAATGGAACCGACGAGCGATAAGAAAATGCGCGTGATGCTTGACCAGCTGTTTACCCTACAGTCTAGACGCAACTTCCGCATTCTCAACACGGGTCCGCATGTCGAGTTTCAATGTTTTTATCGGCCGTATATGTATGCGCACTATGTGTTTATTATTCGTCGTGTGTTTGTGTAAATGTAAAAAAACTGTTACTGACGACCTTCATATGAAGTAATTCATCCTTGTACTCACCTGATGATGACCTCCTAGCAGGTTGAAACTAGTTGTGGAGACAACAATTGGATTGCATGAATAAGGTATTTAAACCACTATCATAGTTAACGTACACCTTCAGTACGTGCATAGTTGTTAATAGGGTACCGGGTAATTTATAGTGTCATCATGCTACATGGTATAATTTGATGGTACTAAAATATGATTTATTTATATGATAACTTGTAAAACGATGCAAATATACTACATTAAAAATCCCTTCTATATGGAAACCTAGATTTTCAACCGTCATTTTAACACAGCGAACTAATTATCACAATTGATGTACAAGAAATTTACATAATGTAGAGTTTAAAGGAAAGTTTCTAACCATTTGTACCCTTTCAGTCCTTTTTACCTGTGTTTCTCCTTTATAAAGAATTTACTCCAGTAACTAACTGGATCGGTAGCTTAAAGTGCTCAACTAACAATCAAAAGGTCTCCTGTTCGATCCTAAGAGAAGTCAGTAGTTTTTTGATGGTTCGAAATTGGAGTTAGGTTTCCCCTGATAATTGGGCTTTAAATGATCCTGACTATAATGAAACAGCGAATTCTTAGTCAGTATTAGCAACGCTACAAAGGTAATCTTACTCCAGTTTCTGTCTTTGACTGATCCAATAGTCAATATAATTCTACATCTTCGAGCCTAACACTCGTATTTGCGTTAAAAAAGGACCTAGGTGGCCACCTCAATTAGTTGATAACTGATAAGCAATAAGTAGATTCCCGGGGCCACGTTGAGGAGTCATGAATATGCTGGAGTTTATTTGATTATGGGGCAAAAGGATTTTAGCATGTATGCATTTTTTGCAAGCAGTCTTGATCATGATCCTGCGCAGTGCAAGCTTGTCTCCAGATTTTTGTCCTGACTTTTAGGGGAGAAATCTACAAAAACACTTCTCACTCCTCGTTGGAATGGATTAAAGACCCTTATGGCCCTGTCACTGCATACCCATAGCGACCACAAGCCACTCCCGACCCGTGAAACGTGTTGAGGAAGAAAAAGCATAGCAGTTTTTAAACTAATGATCAAACCACTTCTCAACATGTCTCTCGAGGCAAGGCGGTCATCTTGTCACCTGATGTATACAGTGCAGTGATGCCTTCTGTCTGGTATATGATGCAGTCTGGCCTAAATAGCTCCGTACCCCATTAAGTATGGTCTGGCCCGTTGCTCTTTTGGTTGGCCAATCCAAGATGGCCGTGTTGACTTCCATGGACTCCCTTGGAATTACATTTAAAACAACAAACATTTCTAATCTCACAGTATATTAGATATTTACATTGTAATCACTTTGGTGTTTGAAATAGTATATTTCGTACCTAGGGCCGAAAATAAGGTTTTGCCGGCTCGAGATAGTTTTTAAGTTCGAGACGAAGTCGAGAACTTAAATCGATCGGGAGCTGCAAAACCATTTCGGTCCGTGGTTCGAACGCTATTTTTCACCACACTATTTCCTATTACCACTATTCACCACTATAATAATGCACACTGATAGTCAACACAACTACAACAGGTTATGTGAACAAATAATTTGAAGAATCAGCAAAAATAAAAATAAATAGTTGCTAGGCAACAGTGACAATAACACAATTCTATTGCAATGCTATGGATTTTGATTGTGTATTTAAAATGCATTCATGTTAAGTAAGCGGACAGCTGATTTTGCAGCCCCGGCCTGTAAAAACCTGCTCGGTCCCCAAATTACGATGACAGCTGGCATGGCCAGCAAAACGTAACTTTCAGCCACCAATTAACGTATGTAATACGGCCAAAAACATTATAGTATGGTGAAATAGTAGTTTACGCAACGATTGCGTTAAGTGAGTCTTTACGACACGAGTAGAAAATTTAAGGCACTCGCCATGGCTCGTGCCTTAAAAACTTCTACGAGTGTCGTAAAGAATATTAACGCGAGTTGCGTACACTACTTTACCTACGACCATTTTTTAATTACTATCAATCTGGATTTAATTACTAACAATCACTAATGATAACTTTTTAGAGAGGTTATGTTTTCGTGTATTGTCATTGCCACTGAAAGTGATGCAACGACTTGTTGTATAATCAGCTGATTTCCTGTAATTACGTGTTTGTTAAACTTCGTTAAATAATACATTGCTAGCAGCATTCTTACCATAAATAATATTGTATCAGGTACAATTCGGCAAATATTTCATTTATTTTTGGACTTCCACCAACTTAATTAAGAATACGCGAGTATCAACATGAACAAGTCGGATCAACAATTAAATTGGTCAAAGTCAACTGATCAGCTGATCAGCTGATTAGTTGACGTTCGAAGCATTACAATTTTAATTCTTTTCTCTCAATACTTGAACCTCATTGGTCCGTTACCTGTGTGGATATGAGAAAACTATGCGGATTATGAAATGAAACTATGCAGATATGAAAGTAAACAGCTGTAAAGTGAAACTTTTCAATTCTAAGAACTGGACTGAAATGGCTACTTTAAAAAACGGTCGTAGGTAAAAATTTTTTTGGTTGATAATTAACTCTTTAGCAGCTGTTCAAGGACTCTTATAAGAATAGTCTTTGAATAGCACAAATAGACTTATTCACTGTGAGCTGTGAGGTCTGTATCCATGGTTTTAAATCAATGCTAAGCCTGTGTAGCCTAGTTATAGATTGAATGATCAAAGTCAGATAATCAAGCTATGGTGGAGCTTTTATCCTCGTAATCACAAAAAGTGTCACTGAAGATTGCTGAAAAAAGTTATTTGCTATTTCCCAGCAATCGTAAGAGACAATTAATGATGATTTCTGTGCAATCTCAGGGGAAAATCCTTGTGTCTTGATCAAAACTGGACTCAATGGAAACCCGTTACGCACACTTCTACTAAAAACTGGTATTAAAATTACGTTTTCACGCCAATACATTATTTACTACGTAAACGTGATGGGGCTTTGTCCCATCCGCACGCCAAAAGATCTGCTACGCCACTGCAGGTCATCACTCCATTCGTCAGAAGAAACTTGCCTTTGTGATTATTATTGTAGATCAAAGGCTTCAACCCACAGGCAGTGTGAGCAAAAATATACCTACTGCCTTTTAAACCTTCTGCTTCGAGGATGAACTATATGCTTATCAATGTTGACACTTATCATCTTTAGGCCGGAAATATATTTTCCGTGTGGTTTAATGCTATGTATTTTTAAAGCAACAATGTGCATCTTAATGATGATTTAATTCCTTCAAGTTTTGTGCAGCCTGAAGATGGGGTGTATCAACATCAAAACAAGTAGTTGTAGTCCATTCTCTTAGCAGACGGATCTTTGAGGCAGTACCAGGTATTTTATGTCAGAATTTATGTCAAGGTGATTCAGAATAAACAACACAAAATGAAATATGAGCACCTAAAAAAATATACCAAAGTAAACCAAAGAAATAATATAAGTATATTTGTTTACATTCTCATTAAGTATAGCCTACACTTTTCTACCAAAGGGGGGGGGGGGATCTTAAAAAAAAAAGTGGTTCTAATATAATCCTTTTAATGACAGTATTTATCAAAGCTATTTTATTTTACAAAACACGATATATGAACATTATAAAAGCTAACTTAAAGTTTTACACTAAGCTAATACTTAAGTTTCAAATAATCACAGGGATGCCAAAAGTACAAGTAGCACGTTTTATCAAAATAAATTCTGTCAGAATACCAGACTAAACCTTCAATATCTTAGAAAAGCATATTAATGCGTTTAACGACTTATAACGGGGTAATACTGTTCCAAATTCATCGTTTTGAAAGATAGTATAATCCAAAAGTAATGGCAATTTTCACATTAAAAAACCATTATAACAGTTGGACTGAAACATTTAGTGATTTTGATTATAAAAATACTCAGTGCCACAAAAAGCTTGCTCGAAAAGTCAGCATATTCGAGAAAAAAAATATTAATTTACATCATCCTCCTCTGACAATGGCTCAATTCAACAATAGTTCTTTCACTTTCATTCTAGAAACTACAACATTAACATTTGGATAGATTATCTAGTTTTATCTAAACTCAGATGCTAATTCAAAGTATACAGTGTTCATTGTGCAAACGTTTACAGTTTAAGCGCTGAGATGGCCAAGTCCGCCAAGAATCCCTCTGGAGTCATGATGTGAGATGATCCTGTAAACAATATTAACATGAGGGATGGTAGACTAACAGTTCTAGAATGTAAATAAAATAGACGGGTACTCACAATATCACAGTACACTGATTAACGTTCAGTAACACAAATCCCAGGTGTTTGTAAATAAAAATCATAAAGTTCCATACAAGTGAAGTGAGATTCCTACCGTTTTTTAGGGAGGCCTGCTTCTGTCCGATGCCTCCTTAAATCAAAGTTCCATAAGGTTAAATACAGTAATTATGTTCTCAGATTAATTTATTATGAATAGAATAAATATATTATTTGTTTCCAACCTATGCAGAAGGAGAGGTTAGACTATCCCACTTTAAGGTGTACCACCTTGTTAACCTCCCTATTGTTGCTGTTTTCAATTACATGTTACTGTCAACATATATGGGACTTTTAGCCAACCTCAAGCAAAGATGATTTGGAATTTTATTTCGGTTATAATCATACAATAGACTATCCAGAACCTGGTCATCTGAAATGTCAAAAAGATTCACCCCCTTCTCCGCTGAACCCTTGGTAACAGAATTTAAAACTTTACAAAGGTAAAAGGTTCTACAACACTGTTGGAGAATATGCCAGTACAAAATTCATAATATTGTACGTAAAAACTTACCAACGATGACTTCCCATTTATTGTTGGCAGCAGCGACTTCGTAAGCGGAGCGGATCTCAGAGAAGCTGACGCCTCCGACACAGAAGATGATGATGCGAGGAACATGCCTCACAAATGGCTTGTTCCATTGCCCATATCGAGCACTTGAACATGAGAATGAAAATCTACTTATTTACTAAATAGAGATAAATTATTACATTCAAGAGTAAAATCAAATAGCTTGATTTGATTTCTCTGACAATAGAACCGTTCGTAACCTTCGGTTGAATTATCTGATACAACCCCCTTATAACTCCCACAATCGCTATCGTCAGGTCAGAATACAATGAAGGTTTGAGGATCATAAAACAGGTGTCAAGGGAACACGGGAGCCAGGGAACTTGATTTTAGTGAGAACTAAGCAAGTCTGGGCACATAACACATACGAATAATTGTAATGCATTGTTGATATGTGCAAATGTAAACCCATCTTGAATGAGGAAATAAAACATTGTATGCAAATTGTCAAGGCATATTTTATATTCATCACTTTTTCCACCAAGCAAATTAGAACAATATTCATGGGACATAGTTGCACCCTGAATAATAAACGTTTAACACGTTCGCGGCGGCACGTCAAATGGCGGGCGTATCCCCAGTGCGGCGCAGCCCTCAGCGTCGAACAAACCCAATTGCCGCGTGTGATTGGCTTTCCAATTTCGGTCTGACGTATAGCAAATAACGTGCGAGGATGTCCTGCTTTACGTCGACGTAGTTCGCTAAACACCCACAGATAGCACTGCTTGGAACGTAGCCGGTCCCATTGGAATTGTATTGCCAAATGGAGGGAAAAAGACGGGACAAAAAGTACATTTTTGAGATTGCCAGACAGGGATTTTACGGGGAAATTTACTACCAACCTACACCACAAAAAATACAGTATACTATTGAGTAGTGCTGTGCGAGGTTTCAAGTATCTAGCTCTAATCCTAGGTTAAAGAAAAATCATTTCGTACTGCATTGCAGCTTGGGAGCGATCGCACCCACCAGGATGGCATTAGGGTTCCGTATGGGAGCGATCGCTCCCATGCCGCCGCGAACGTGTTAAAACAGAAATACAAAATTGTAAAAGTCATAGTTCTAACAGGTGGTGAAAAATGATTCAATTCTTCTTCTTACCTCATGGGAAATTGTTGGATAGAAGATTCAGACCGGACTTTTAGGTAGGGAAAGTGAGAAGGGTCCAATTTATCTTGAATGGCGTCCTCTATAAGATCCTTTAGCACCGGAGTCCATCGAGGTGGGTATTTTACTTGCTCGTTAGAACGATCCTTTCGTGGAATTTGGTACACATCCTTCTTTTTCCCCTTTTGTGACAGTGAAATGATTAGCATTGTATAAAACTTACACATGATCTAAAAAACAGAGACTACAAACAGAAGAATTGCTATTTTTTTATACCAAAAGATTAAACAACACCACATATAGCTTACTTTTTAAAATGTATAACTTGTTTTACCATAGCCTTCCAAAGCAAGTTGTTGGCGTTGTTGGCGACCTCAAAAAAGTTACCCAGGTTGGTTCACACAAAGACATAGCTTCTCTGCTTAACTCAACAACTATTTTGACTCTTACCTCGACAACTACGTTAACTCCCAAGTTGCCCATGTTTGCTATAGCCTGCTTCTCTTGAGGTAGGATCTGTGCGTGCTGCACCAGCTTGTTGAGATTCTCCTCTGAGATGCCATTGCGACTAAAGATATACAAAAGGATAATCCTCATCTTGTCGTAGTTGGTGATCGCTTGGTCCAGCAGGATGGGGACAATGTTGGGCATGTGGTCCTTGATGCGCTCTCCATCAACGTCTGTACCCGTAGCTAGGTCCTAGGAAAAATTGGGACATCGATACAAATGCAATCTTAAGAATTAAATTCTCACAATTTACAAGATATTCTTTGTTTGACAGTATTTTAGTACAATTAGAGATATTATTTTTTACTTCTTCACTATAATAAATTCTGTGAGTTTGGAGTAGGGATGGTCAAGTCTCGAAATTTCGGGAAATTTTCAATCTCGTTACACGAGACGAGATTACTTTTTGCCCGAGATTTTTATCAAGACGAGAATAAAAAAAAAATAAAAAAAAATAAAAAAATAAAAACGCCTGCAGAAAGTCAATGCAATACCCGCAATACAGGAGCGTGTTGTAGTTGCGTTTCCTTTTCGAAGGCGTTCTTATTTAATTAATTCTTTTAATGTAAATATTACTTTAATTCTTTTAATGTAAATATTACTTTCATTATTTTAATAATATTACTTTAATAACATTTGAGAAGTTTTGTTGAGTGTAAGCAGTGTGAGGAATGTTTTGTTACTATAAAAAAGTCAAAACAAGTAACTATTTTATAAAAATTAATATTGCTTTTATTTTATGATTTATTTTATTTTAGGATAAGTTGAACTCTATCCTAACTGATATCACCATGTTTCCTAATCGTAGGCATTTTTTATAAGTTAGGCGTGATTAATAAAAAAATGTTATGCTGATGTTATTTAATGAAAGATTGTAAATATTCTTGCCTATTATCATTATTTTAGTATTTAAACAGTCATCTAACAATGTTACAAAATCAGGTAAAAATTTCGAACGTGCATTTCCCGTTGTGTATGAGAAGAGAAATCTCGTCTCGATCTCGTCTCGAAATTTTATGAGAAATAAAAAATCTCGTCTCGTCTCGTCTCGAACTAAAAATCCAATCTCGTCCATCCCTAGTTTGGAGTATGATTGGGTTTTTGGAGGTTGATGGGGTTTTGGGGAGGTTGATGGGGTTTTGGGGGGCTTTTAACTAACATTCCACCGTCAAATTAGTTACTCTCACATCACTCCCCCAGCGGGCGATGCTTCACTCCAAACACATATGCAGCATAGTTCCAAAACAGGAAAAAACTTGATGCTTCTTTAGGGATGACATGCTTGTCATTCTCATCTCTTTTCTAAAAGGTATATCGGTATATCTTGAAGCAATAACTTTAAAACATAAAGAAACTATTTACAAAATAGGCCAAAACAGTTTATTTCAGTTAAAGTTTCCTGTAAATTACTCAAGGATTCTGTAAGGACTGGCTGTTATAGCTGTTATAGTGCTCGCCCAACAATCAAGGGCTCCTGCCGGATCAATCCTGAGAAAAGTCAGTAGCTTTTTGATGGTTCCAAAACTGGACCCAGCTATTCTTGATCATTGGCTTTAAATATAAATGATCCTGACTAATGAAACAGCTTATCTTAGTCAGTAACAAAGCTACAGAGGTCTTCACACTCCATTCTACACTCATCCTTCACTCATATTTGGGTTAAAATATGCAATCTAGGTGGCGTCCCCATCTCAATTGATTGATCATTTTAAAAAATAAAAAAAAACAAGAAAATACACCTGTTGGCATTTTCTTATAAGTACCTGTTCGACATTGCATAGACATTGCATTCGATCCTGCCACGCCCCAAAACAGTTCTCAGCCAATGACAGGAGTGTTTGACATTTTCTCAACTCTTCTTTATGATGCGGAAGTTTCTTGATTAGTTGATTGAGATCAACCATTGATGTCGTGTCTTTCATTTTTGAGGTTGTGAACTTCTTTACATTTTCAGGTACAATTCTGAAACAAGCCAGACAGATTTTTGCATAGCTCATAAATGTAAAGGGGTTTTCTTAAAACCCAAAGACATATAATCTAGGAAAGCCAAAAGTACCCATGAACTTTTGAGAAAACTACAAGTCACACTCCCATAAACCATATACTTAAAATGTTCGTCATGACGAGAAACCTTGCGCAAAATTATCCATTATTTCATAAATTGCCCTATAAGGTCGTAATTGCTTTCCAAAGGGAACTTTCCATTTATACCTAATGTTAAAAATACCTCAGCTGTTATTATTTGTTTGTATTACCATTACTGTATTCATTTTTTTATCTTACTGTATTCAGTTTATTTCATCTTAACTTAACCAATCAATAGTTTTATTAATACCAATGTAGTAAAACGGGTTGGAGCCCGTGGGTAACAGCTAGTTGCCCTTAATTGCTACTGCTTGGTTTATAAGTAAGTTTTGGATGGCTTTTAATGTAGATAATTCTTCTCTATACAGAAAATTCCCCTCTGACAAATCATCCTACTTTTGGATTCCAAATGGACCAACAGCTCCCTCCGCTGCTTGAGGAAAAAAGGCTACCAGAAGTGGATTTTCTTCTGAATATACTTCCAAGTTCCAATCGTGTAAAATCAGCCTTTCTTGATTTAAGCTCTAAGATTTGGTAACTGATCAATTTACAATTATAAAATGCCAAGTCAATTAAATATAAAATCATCCAAACCGATCAATAACAACAATCAACCAACTAGAATTGTCAACAAGTTGTAAACATGTAGGGGTAAAATAAATTTTATGGAATTTGAAAATTACATTAGTATATCAAGGGTGACTTGTTATCGAGGTTCAACTGTAATACTTACTTAAGTACATGGCCTATGTGTTCATGGCGTAACTGCACCCACATCTCATTTTCTTCATTCAGAATCACTTTTACCTCTGTACTTGAAGAAGTTTTATACCTGGAAAACCCACACATTTTTCAAACTATTGTTTTTACCCACTGTTGCATGTTACAGTGAATATTTTCTCAACTGAATAACCTAAACCATAGGCAACATCAAAAATAATAAATAGCATGTAGGTAAATATTAGAAAATATTAGGCAAAATACAAATTTTAAACTTTATAAAAATACTTCATTGATACACCCCCACATTCACTCACAAACTTTTGTTATGTTACTGATACCATATAAAAATGTCAAATAAACAGAAAAATAAAAAAAGCTTAAAACTATTGTAACAGCAAAGTATAGGATACATCAGTACAAAACCACCTAAATGTCCATGTAGCCGTGATGTGGGTAGCAGAGAGGTATGTAGATATAAGGAGCTGAGAGATTCTGGATTGTGTGTCATTTTTAATCTAGAAACTGTAGTATGCAGCGTACAAAAACAAAATAGAAATTACAGTCAAGTGCATGTGCTTTAGTTTAACTAGTAACTTTCCCAGTTGCGGGCGATTTAAGGGGTTGTTTCGACACATCCACTAAGATCAAAGATCATTTCAGTAAGAAGTAAACACGTTCACACCATAAAATTTATGGTTCTTGCCATTGATTTCAGTGAACATTTTAATAAGTTAATGGCAGTATGATCAATATTTTGTATGTGGATAGTGTAAGGCATAGAGTGGCCTTTTATAATTATTTACCACAAAAGAGGGTAATATATATGCAAGTTATCTAAAAAATTGTAATTTATCAATAATGATATTAAAATGACAGCATACAAATTTTATTTTCAGGAAAAAACTATAGGCCTGGATAAATTCTTTTCTTTTATGTGGTGCATCATTTTAACTAGTCATTCACAAGTAATTCTCGTGTTATGCAAGAGTTAATCACGTGTCATTCACGAGCTTTTCTCGTTTCTTTCACAAGTTTTTCACGTGACATTCACGAGTTTTTCACGTGTTTTTCACCAGTTTTTCATGTGTCATTCATGAGTTTTTCACGTGAAAATGTGTAGGACGTGAAAAAATAGGAACACAATTACGTTATTTTCACGAGTTTTTTTTACGTGTTTTTCATGTGAAAAAGTGTGTCGTCTTCGCAAGCTAGCTATTCACGTGAAATTCACGTGATTTTTTCCAGTCATGTACGAGAAATTCACGTGAAATTGGTAAATAGATATCGTGAAATTCACGTGCTTGTGCTTACTGAAAGGTACTTCGGTGTACAGTCATGCTACAGGTAAATACCACAAGATTTCCGATTTCACAACCCTGGTAATCAATCATCGACAGGAATGAGGTTGGATAAAACGAAGGTTGAATGACCAAAGATTTGATAATTATGACTCTAAAATACAATTGCAAGGATGAATGATAAAATTATAGATAGCACAATAGTTTTTTCCCGAACTATTATTAAGCGTTTCAAATAATATTTTTTGTATATAGACTTTGTAAGTTGTAGTTTTCTCTACTGGACCTACTTGTAGACATCATTCTCTATCGGCAGCAGGTCGTAGGCCATGGCTTGCAGTGTCAGCTCGTGCAGTAGAGGAGACACACAGTCAAACCCTCGGTCCAGTATGATCAGCTGGGACCGAGCCTTCTCCGGACCCTCCCCCATGGTCGGCTCATCGGCCTTGTACGCGTCCAGCTTCTGCTGCACCAACTGCGCCAGCTCTGCGTTCTTCTCAAAATCACTATGAGAGAATACAGCCGTTATTTTCAAATAATGGCAAGAAAATTAGTAAAGGTATTCTAGATGTGTAATGAAAAATTATGGACAAAATTCAACTCACGAGCGGTAGCAGATAGACGGGTATTCCCCGAGAGTTGCACACAAGGTAGCGATCTGCTCGGCAATCCTCTCTAGGTTGGCGACGCGATTACCAGCAAAGGTCTGGTTGTAGACACACTGGAATGTCTCAGGGGAGTCTAGAGAGAACACCTGCAAATCACGAATACCTTGAAATACTTGGAAACAACGGGATTATTACTTCAAGTTAAACAGGATGAAATGTGTTCAAGGCATGGTTAGATATATCGTTGATTAAAGTTTGAACAAGACCAAAACCTCTAGACAGAACCGGCCTTGGGCATTATGTACAAAAGGTGGGGCCGCACAGATCCCTGCACGCCGGGGGGCACACGCTTGGTGCAAAATATAAAATAATTGTAATACAGTAAGTCTGAGAGTTTTAAGTCTTTTATAACAAATGATAAAACTAGATGAAGAAGTATAGATAATCATTGGGATTTTTGTTCGTTAGTATTGTTGGGATACTACGTCTTTGGTAAGAAGCCCTGCTCTGCACTGGACTCCACACTCTCTAAGGCTAGCTCTGCCAGTAAAGACAACCAAACAAATTTTTTACATAAAACAATTTCTCACCTGAGGACGGGATTAGATTCCAGATCCTGAAATATTGCTGCGAAAACCTGTTTTTTTTACTTATCTTGATGAAAACTGTCCGCAATCCATCAAAAAGCCACCATTACCAAAAATGAACTTCAAAGAATTAAATCCAATTATGTTGTGACATTTAATTTCCTTAAATTGTTCTAATAGTTTGTGTTAGTAGTGTTAGTATAGGCTACACATTTATATTCATTTGTTCTTGGGTTATTAATTTTAATAATTAATTATATCTACTGTGGATAAATATTTTTAAATATAGTAGTTATATCTGATGCCATTGAGTGTTTAAAATCATGTACCTTATGATAAAATAATTTTGATATGGTTTGATATAAAAAGGATGGTTGAAGAAATAGTGGCTAAAATTGGGAAAAAATATTTGGCGGAAAGACAAGAGTTTGAAGACCACTGCAGTACAGACTAAACTACTAAGATTAAATGACTAAGATAACTGTAATGCTGAAAGGAAACATACATCAAAAGGAAGAAGGGGAGCTTTATCAGAGAAACAATGTATGGAAGAGGGTTATAAACACATCTGAAATATTGGAACAGGTCAATCAGTGATGATGATAGTTGTGTTTGAAACAAATATTTTAATATTCTCGTTTACTTTGATAAGTTAAGAGGCAGCCAACCTCTAGAAAAAATTAAATAAATAAATAAACTTCTGAATCAAACTAAACATTTTGATAATGTGTCTTAAACGTATGTAGTCTTCAAATATGCATTAATTCACAAACATCACAATAAGCGTGCTTGTTGAGTGTTGAAGTGCCTGGATGTAAAGTCAATCAATCCACAAGCATAGAACCAAAGGATCCTTAATGGGTACCCAAACCATGTTAGTACTACCATCCACGAGCAAAAAACCACTGTTTACCTGAGATTCATATGGAATGAATGCAACATTTATTTCCTTTAATGTTTGTATGTACTTTGTAATTTGATCTTTCCTTAGTTTTTCAAACAGCCAGTCTGGGCATGCTGAAAAAGATTATTAAAAATATGTATAAAAAGATGTAGTTTCCGTTTTTTATGATTTCTTTAGATGGTAGCTTGACATTACTAAATGTTGTCCAACAATCGTAAATAAATATGGTAACATAAGAATGTTATACAATTATTTTTTGCACAAGAGTTAAGAGATGAAAAGAGCAACTGGACTTTATTATGTATCAGGATTTATAGATTCAATACAAATTTGATATTTGACATATTTTTACTTACCTTCAGTAAAATAAACATGAGCAGAACGGTACATAATGTAATCACCGCTAAAATCTTTTATGAAGGCGTCGACAGACTTCTCCGTTGGTGTGATTAGGTAAACTGCCTCCAATTTAGGAAGCGGTTCTCGACTGATGTTGATGTCTTCTACAACTATAAATAAAATAAATTAAGAAAACGGAAAACTGACATGTTGAAAAACAACAAACAAGCACATTATAATAGATATTCCCTGAATATCTTTAAGAATGAGCACATTGTCTCATCAATCTGGGTAGATAGGTTAATGACTGGTTGTAGTTCTTGTCTTATGATCAGAAGGTTGCCAGTTCAATTCTGATTTAAGTAAGTTGCTTTTACCTAACCCGCCATGTTAAACTTCCCTATCCCAAGCGTGATGTATACAACTTCCTCACTTCACGAGTGATGTAAAGTTGTAAAAAACTCACTCGGTGATGTAATGAAACCCATTTAAATAACATTGAGTGGATAACTTAAAAAATATACCTCTATGGAGCCAACAACGTTCAACACTAGAAATCAGCTGTGTGCTTGAATTTTATTGTTATGCTTTGAAGAATTTCCTAACCTAGCTTTTGTTTGTAAATAAACGTTACTGTTAGAAGATGAGTGAAATGGATAATGAAGCATATTGCTCCTAACCTCCTGTATATTGTCGGGTCAGGTAAAATCTTGTACGTTACACGTTACGCAAGAGCGTGTTTACATCACTTCGGTGAATTATGCAACTCGCTTCCGCTCGTTGCACAACATTCGCCTGCGTGATGTAAAAACGCTCTTACTACACTTGTTATGTAAATAGCTATTACGATGGTTTGAAATTGGGCCCAGCTGTCAAAAATAATGAGCAAAAAGATTTTTCAAAAATTTTGGCAAATACCTCTTAAGTAGCATATAGCCTAAACTGCTTTAACAATGAGTAGATGTAATTTATTATTAATTTAGTCTATGTTATTTTATATCACTGTTAGAACTCGTGTGAAATAAAGAACTTTACAAAATATTATCTAATAAAGAACTGATTTTATTCTGCTAAATAACAATATTTAAAACATTTTCTCTGTAAAATTGTTATGTTCTTGATCACTTTCTTAAATTCTTAACACAACTCTTCTCAATTGTTTAAAATAAATTAAAATAAACCATCTGTTCATAAAAACAAAGAATAATAAATTATTATATTTGATGTTGATTAATATTGAAATTTGTATTATATAAAAAACAACTTAATTTCCAACATCCTCCCCACCTTGGAATTTTGCTTTACGTCATCAAAATTTCAAACAAAACTATTTACATGTTTCTTTTATAAGTTCACAAGTCCATTTTCCTAGGGATTTTTATCTTTCTCCCTCTTCTTGTTTCTGTTGGTGTTGATGACTTATCTTCCACTTCAATATGTGCATCCTGTTTCCTTGACATGTCCTTTGAATTTATTTCCATGGGGTCGAGAAAGATGAATTCTCTTCTTCTTTTCAATATATACAGGCATTGCATGATACTCTCTCTTAAATCTTGATCTCTTCGACAATGTTTCCATCCTGTTCACAAGTTGTTTCCACATATCTCCCCACCATAGGACACTCGGAGGATGGAACTTCCAAGTTACTTGATGGATTTCAAATTTCTGTTTCGTGGTTTTCCAATCCAACTGCTTCCTGAATTTAATTATACCAGATGGAATTAAATTTACCAAATTTGGTCATGGAGCAAAACATTCGTTTACAGACTTACATCTTCTGTTCTTTGTAGACGCATCAAACACTCGTTTTATTTTTGTAGTTAGGCTACTGCCTTTTGTCACTGGGTGATGCAGCAATTGATGAACCGTTGTCGACTCTGCTGGATCTGAAACATTTTCTCTAACACAGTCACTTAATTTGTTGGAAGTATTTAGTCTTTTGCTTGATGACAAATTGACTTCATATCTGTTTTCAACGTTCACTGCTACATTTTCTTTAAACTGTTGAAACACTTCCGCATCAATCGAGTCTCTCTGTTTCACCCCAATGGGATCCCTTCTTCTGATTGTTTCCCAGCTCCCTAGATCTCTAAATTCTGGTTTACTCTGGCAAAATAAAGTTAGTAGAGACGTATTACGACTTCCACTGCATGGTTGTTTCCCCATCACGGTCCATCCAAGGTACGTTTCGATAGCGACTAGTTTGTCATCGATCTTCTGCATAGTTCCTGTGTACAAATCCACTAGTACATCTGCACCAAGTAAAATTTTAACATCTGGTACATTTTCACCCACATCAGTTAAAATAATGTTCTTTTCCTTTAAGATGTCCAAATACTCTTCACTCTTAAGCCTAGGTACATGGTTACAAATTGTTTCTTGATCTGTCACAGGAATAGAGATCTTGAAAGAATTATTTACATTCTGTAGAGTCACTAGGTAATTTTTATGAGATTTTTGTTTTAGATTTACTCCACCAAACAAACTATGATTAATGACTTCACTACCTGTTTCTTGTAGACCTAATTTAGTGACACAGTCCTTAGTAATGTAGGATCTCTGGGAACCTGGATCCAAAAGTGCTCTTCCCAAATACTCTTTACCTTTCTCATCTGCAACCTTAACTAATAGAGTCTGTAATAGAGTTTCTCCTGTACCGTTTCCAAAATTACTGAGAACCTCTGACTTAGGCTTAGTTATACTTTGTTGCAGTAAGTCTGGCTTGTCAACATCAATTTTAGATCGAGGCCTACTTTCATATAAGTCCCTACACATGATTCCATAATGTCTTTTACAACAGAAGAGACATTTGACAAATACCTTGCACTTTTTTGCTGAGTGACCTTGCTTCAAGCACACAAAGCAGCAATTTTTCTTTTTCAGATGCTCCTTCCTTCCATCTAAAGTTAATTTTTGAAAATAGGAACAATCTTGAGCATTGTGCCCTCCTTTAGAACAATAAGTACAGTTACTCACCAACCTTCTAGGACCCTCTGTACCAGTTGTCAATAGAGCTGCTACCGTAGGTTGGCCCTGACGAGGTTCGTGAACTGCTGACCTTCTCTTTTGGCTGCTACATTTGCTGTTGTTCTCCCCTGGACTGGCAGATTTAAAACTCGAACGAGCAAGAGCCAGCCTTTCTTCACTCTCCACCTCAGACTTTAGAAAATCAAGAAGTTCTTGTAAAAAATTACTTGATTTATCATCTGACAATGTAGAAGTCGAGGGTGTGTGTGGTAACTTACTTGAACGATGCCGCTCCCAGGCTCGTAATGTTTCTTCGGGCAAAGCAGATTCTACCAGAGGATACAGCATTGAAGCGTATTCGTCTGAAGTGACTCCTAAAGTTTCAAGTGCCCTTAACTGTGTTTCTAGTTTGTCATACAGTCGGCACAGTTTAGTATTAGGACCTAGCGTTACTTGTTGGAGCACTAAACTGAGCAGTTCCCTCACATATACTTCTATTAAAAAGTCATCCCTACCAAATCTTGCTTTTAATTGTTCTAGGGCCTTTACATAATTAGTTCTAGATGGGGGAAAACTTTCTACTAATTCCCTAGGGGATGATCCTGGCTTTAAAGATTGGATGAGGTATTGGAACTTATCCTCAGGTTCTAGATCAGGATCCTCATGGACCGTCTTAAACTGCCCCCAAAGCCCTATCCAATTTTTTACATCTCCATCAAACTGGTTTAATTGTAATTTAGGTAGACTTAACCCCTTCTTAGATACTAATTTAAGACTGTGAACGGTATCCCCGACTTCACTTCTTGACTGTTGGCTTAGGCCAACCTGAATAATGAAATGGTCATACTTAGCTCTCATTGAAGATAACATGTCTCTGTAAGATTCTGTAGTATCAAACTCAGCTTCTAAGTCCTCTTCCGTTGTTGCAGGATCTTCAAACAAGGCTACCTCGATGTCTTCATCTAGCTTAAAAAGCCTATCAGCTTTATCTTGCAACTTGTTTATATTACTTTTAATTGCTGCTTCATCTTTAATATCCTCTGCCAGTAATTTATCCATTTCATTACTACACTTTGTAAAAGTCCTTCTTAGTTGAGTCCTTTTTGTCTTTAATGACGTCAGCTTATCCATTGTAAAGTAAAATATAAGCTTAGTCCTAAATCTGAATTTTAACTATAAAAATATCCTGTCACGGTCGCCACTATGTTAGAACTCGTGTAAAATAAAGAACTTTTACAATTATTAAATAATAAAGAACTGATTTTATTCTGCTAAATAACAATATTTAAAACATTTTCTCTGTAACTAAATTGTTATGTTCTTGATCACTTTCTTAAATTCTTAACACAACTCTTCTCAAATGTTTAAAATAAATTAAAATAAACCATCTGTTCATAAAAACAAAGACTAATAAATTATTATATTTGATGTTGATAAATATTGAAATTTGTATTATATAAAAAACAACTTAAATTCCAACAATCACTTTAGATCTTATTTTTGGGGTTTGGAAGGGGGCGACAGGGAAGAGGTTACCCCTCAAATTTATCTTTGACTTGTGTTTTTGCAGCATGTAATCAACCTTGACGTATCCAAATGCATGTACATGTTTAACGGAATAAAAATATTGATTCTATTGATTCCCCAGGTCCACACATACCGGAGGTAGGATTGGAGCTACACACATATATAGGGAACAATTAAAAGAATAGCACGGACTTACTGTATCCGTCCCATTCACTTGTAATTCCCTTTTTGTAACCTGAAAAATGTTAGTTAAGATAGTAAAGACACTTACTCGCTATTCCCTCAGCAGATATTTCATGCATCTTGCAGCACGCTGACACTATTCTCATGGCCTGTTGATCCAACACCAACACTCGCCAGTTAAGTTCTTTTGCTAGTCCCTTCTTCTGTTTGATCACCTCATTCATTATCTCTGAAAAAAACAAGAGCTAATAATAAATTTAGTTCAACTCACTATAGAGGTAGATATGACCACAGTTAAACTCAAAATGATACCTACCTTGTGTTTTATATTTAAACGAAATTTAGGATATCCAGATCCAGACTTGGTCTGGGTTGGGAACAAAATTCACATATCACATGCAGCGGGAGACGCAAAACCCATAATTTCAATCCGAGGTCCTGATGATTGATGCTGCACTAAAGCCTTCTAGAAAATAATGCGGGAAAATATATCTTCATAGACAGTCGGGCATTTTTTAAGACCTAGAACTTTGTGTGTCGGGGGAGCTTTGTGTGTTAAGGGTCAGTGGAGCCCTGGGCAAACCCAAAAACAGTGCTCCTCTTTTTTTCCTAGTGTGGGCAGGTGGTGGTTAGGGGCACCTACCCCCCCCCCTGCGCATATGCCCAGTCTGCCCGTTTATAAAAGTGGGCCTTGTTGTGTGTACAAGCAGTGTAGGGGTGAATGGTGAATGGAGCACACCATAAAGATTCTAGCCATCAAAATCCAGTGCCACATTAACATGGATACAAGAGCACTCAGGGCATTATAGTATAAGCAATGAGGGGGCCAGGGCCATCTAAAAGGACAAGATCCATATACTGTGATTCACATGCCTAGGGCAATCTTTAAATATTAGACTTGGACCTGAAAGGCTTGGTAGACCAAACTTGGTAGAGAATTGTGGATATTTATAGGCATGCACTGTGGATGCGATACTCCCTGGTGTGGATTAACACGTCTGGGTACGGGTTAGTACTACAACTATCCTTGAAAATTAGACCAATTCGTATATACCAAGGCAAAAATGTGGTCCGGACTTTACTATATAAACTGTAGGTCCCTTAATTGCAATTAGCTGTATGGGCTATTGATTAACAGCTGTGTCTAAGGAATAAGTCTGCATTAGTCACTAATTAACAAGACTACAAGATCGCAACACTCATCCTACACTCATCTCCATTCATTTGGCTTAAAATATCTACTTTGTATGGTCGCCATTTCATTGAAAAAGTAAAAATAAAACAGGAATTAGACAATCAAAAATACTAATATACAACTATATGGAAAAGGAACTCTAGGCATATAAAAAGGGGCGGAACTTGGGCAGGCTGGTTTTACTGGCCACAGGCCATCCTCTTATAATAAAAAAGACCAACTAAGACAGATTTTAGCGAATTTCCCTATAGGGAAGTAGCTATTACCGTAGGTCTCATGGTAAGACCTAGGCCCGGGACCGATTTACTTTTCATTTTGATGTCCCCAGAGGCCAAAAACACCATTCGTTCAAATTTGTATATATCTATATGTGTAATATATATATGTCCATCCGCACGATAACTTGAGTAATTTTTGTCCGATTTTGATCGAATTTGGTTTGAAGGTGTAAGGCGGGATAAACTTGAACGAGTTCGCGAACCAGCATGATCGGACTATGGGAACGGGGGTTTACGGGGGGTTTTATGGGGTAAAAATAGGTTTTTCCCATTTTTGACCAAAAAAACATAAAATTTAGCAATTTCTTTCCAAACCATTTTGTTGAGCTTAAAAAAACAAATAATTTAGTATATTTAAGTGTTATTATGCGCCTAATGGTTACGGAGAAAATTCCAAAAAAATTTAAATTTAAAATTCCCATGTTATTCTTACGGAGAACAAGTAAACTGTTGTAGTTTGCTTGTTTATGGACATAATTTGATCAAATTTGGAAAATGTTTTTATTTCTTACTAACTGTTAACATTTTACAAAAAAAAAAACAGTTTTGCCCTCCCTGATGCAGCAAACCTAAGTACTTGTTAAACTAATTCTGTTTAAATAGGAAATAAATTTTATATATTTAAGTAGACATTTTAGTGTAAATCCAATCAGGCAAATGGAAATTCGCTTAGTCTGCAGGTTTGCTGCGGCGGGGGTATTGTACAACAGAGAGGTATGGTAGGATCACAGAAAACATACTACTATAGGATCGGCTGAACCCTAGTAGTGGCTGAATAATTGTCCAGCTCTACCCGTAGCCCAAAAATGTTTAACTTCCTAGGAAAATTGACCATGAAGCAAAAAAATATGATTCGCAAAGTTAGTAGTAGATCGTTGATTATAGAACTTAAAACATATTAGCATGTGTGATAATAATTATTGTTAGTCGTTGATGCCCCGAGTCAGATTCTAAAATATTTGAATAAGAACCTCGTTGATAGCTGTTTAGTTAATTTTAGTAAAAAAAATTATTCAGCAAACTAGTTTGGTTTAATTTTTAGCTTACGTTGAGTTTAATAAGTCGTTCTTGACTAATCACCGCCGTCGTTAGAAGTCACCGCTAATTATAATTAACTCTGACCATAAATAAATAAAGCACAAAATAAAAACGTACATTTAAAAGCCCTTTATTGCTACCTACAAATTATTTTGCAAGATTTTGATCATTTTAGCAATATTATACTGCGTGAGATATTTTTATAAGATTTGCAAGTTTCCTCAGGACGATAGTTCGTACGATAATTTTGTGTTGATGTGAAATCTGGTACTAAGTGGCTAGACTGGTTTCACAAAAGCGTCTGCAGAAAGAAGTGCAGGCAACGAAAACGAAAAAAAAAAAAGTGTGTTTGTCAATATAAATTTAACCAACTCAAAAATCGTGTGTGTTTGTTTTTTGTGTTTTATCTATGTAAACATACATTTTTGAACTCAGGTTGTACGTAAATATACGTGGTGATCGTGTGTTAAGAACACGACTTGAAGTAAATTTACTTACAAACAACTCAAGAAAATTCATAGATTGTGTAGTTATCAAGACTTTCAAATAGGCTAGCTATTTCTTGTTCAGTTTTCTAACCTCAACGACAACATTTCCGGTGTAGTAATCTGCTATATATTTGTATTTAATAATGGGTTCTGACAGTGAAGATGATGTTATTGGTCCTCCGATCCCAGAAATGTATAAAACTACCTCCATCCCAATTGTTAATGAAAAAATTCCACAATCAACACAACCAAAAGACAATCAGTCTGAGAGCGAATCAGAAGAAGAATTTGTTGGACCACCTATTCCAGATATTTATAAATTGAACGTACAAGAATCAGGCAGTCATCATGGCAGTAAGACTATTAATGAAAACAATTCAAAGGTTAGTCAACCTATGAGTAGGCCTACTAAGAGCTTAGAACAACATAAGAAACTTGGAGACCACAAAGATTTGGATTCAAATGATAGCGATATGAGTGAATCTGAAGATGAAAATGACAGTGTCCTAATTCCTATTAGTGAGGAGTTAACTATAAATCATGGAACCAAAGCCGTTGTTGCTCTTGCTGTAGATCCCGCAGGAGCCAGACTAGCAAGTGGATCAGTAGATTACGATGTTAAATTTTGGGACTTTGCGGGTATGGACAGCAGCCTACAGAGTTTCCGATCAATGACACCATGTGGGAACTATCCAATAAAAACCGTTCAGTATTCCTCTACTGGAGATGCTGTGCTCATAGTGTCCGGAATGTCACAAGCAAAAGTGTTGGACAGAGATGGACATGAATTGATGGAGTGTGTGAAGGGCGATCAGTATGTAGCTGACATGGCAAGAACTAAAGGTCATACTGCTCCTTTAACCAGTGGTTGTTGGCATCCTAAAATTAAAGATGAATTTCTAACAGCCTCCGAAGATGGTACTTGCCGACTTTGGGACGTTAATAAACCTTTCCATCACAAAAGTATCATCAAATGTAGGGCAAAAAATGGATTGAAGACAGCTCCGACAGCCTGCGCCTTTAGTCGAGATGGAAATATGATTGCTTGTGCTTGTGTTGATGGATCGATACAAATGTGGGATCATCGAAAAATGTTTGTAAACACATCCTTACTGCTCCGAGACGCACATCAGTCAGGAACAGAGACTTCCTGTATTGCTTTTTCATACTTGGGAAACTGGATTTCAACAAGGGGATGTGACGACACACTAAAACTATGGGATTTAAGAGCTTTCAAAAAGCCACTAGCGACGGTTACTGGATTATTCTCAAGGTATCCTACGACAGACTGCATGTTTAGCCCAGATGATAGCATGATAGTTACGGGACAATCCAAAAACCGAGAGGAAGCAACTGGTAAGCTTCTCTTTTTTAATCGAACCAATTTAGAGAAAATAAAAGAAATTACGGTGACAGATTCCCATGTTATTAAGGCAGTATGGCATCCAAAACTGCAACAAATATTTGTCGGCACAGGAAACGGTATTGTCAAAGTCTACTATGATGACACAAAAAGCATTAGGGGTGCAAAACTGTGTGCTTCAAAAACACGGAAGAAAACCAAACAAGTTGAAGTCGTTGCAGCTCAACAAATCATTACTCCTCATGCTCTACCGATGTTTAGACAAGAAAAACCTAAATCTATCCGTAAGAAAATGGAAAAAGAACGTCTGGATCCAGTGAAATCTCATCGACCTGATTTGCCAATTAAATCAGGCCAAGGGGGAAGAGTTGCTGCATCAGGAAGTACGTTGAGTTCATACGTGATAAGAAATCTTGGATTAAGCAAGAAGATAGAAGATGATCAAGATCCGAGGGAAGCGATATTGAAGTTTGCCAAGGAGGCTGCTGAGGATCCTTATTGGATTACACCTGCATATTCAAAAACACAACCAAAAACAATATTTCAAAATGAAGGAAAAGAGGATCAAGAAGAAGACGAACCATCTGCCAAGAAAAAGAAGGTATGAAAAATTAAACGTAAACACTAGTGTGATGGTTTCATTAGTTATCTATCATCAAGATGTAATTTTCTTTCAAAATCTCAATTAAACCTCTACCTATTTAAGTTTAGATAATTTTTTAATTGTACGTACATTTGAAATCATTGTAGAAAGGAGTTTTTATTATTTTGAAACTTGAACAGTACCTAGATCAAAATATTGTAATGTATAACTATTGAATTGACATTATTTACTGAAGGTATAAAACTTGTATGTAAACATGTAAATATTAAATTTATAAGGATTTATTAAATGCCATGCATCAGCCTGTAATATCAGATTTTAGTTTAGGTTGATATTTTGAATAATTAGGCCTACTCAATAGGCTACGTATCAATAACGTATTTTGTAATTTACTTCAGAGTTTTGATTTCACAACTTTTGTATGGACTACTGAACTCTTTCATATCATCAAACATTTTATGGTAATCATTGTCAAGCAAAATGTACTTATTATAACCATTAGAGTATATCAAAAAACATTTCTATCAAACTGCAAATTAACTTGTATAAATTTGTTAAGACTTAAATTAGCCTACTGTAATTGTTGTTGCTGCAACACAGTTTTTTTAGTGAGATAATTTAGGACCAATTCTCAGGTACCTAAAAGAGATTTGTTGTTTCTTAAATTAAAAGCCTTGCAGCAAATAATGTTAGAATTTGATAATAAACTTTTGTAGATAAAAATATTCATGCCTAATTTAATATCCCTATTTTCCTAATACACAAAATACAAAATAAACTCTTTTAAATAGTTATCTATCTAGTCAACCATTATTCACTTTTCTAGATACCTACCGGAAAGTTGCCCTCCATTGCTCTGTGGTATCCATGATGCAAGTGAGTGTAATTCTCGTCAAAATAACAGACTACGGTATACATTTCCTCGTTTACATGAAGCCAGTTGGCGAACAGGTTACTGCCTCGGGAAACTTGAAATACATTAGAGGCAATTAACCTTCCTTCTCTACTGGCCTCGTGTAAACGCGGCTTTTTATTTTTGATCTTTCACTTTTATAGCTCAGGAATTGCTCCCTACTCTGTAATAGTTTGGTGGTGATTAATTAAATATTTTACCTAACCCGCCATGTTAAACTTCCCTATCACAAGCGTGATGTATACAACTTCCTTACTTCTCGAGTGATGTAAAGTATCCAAAACTCACTCGGTGATGTAAAGAAACCCATTTAAATAACATTGAGTGCTTAACTTAAAAAATATACCTCTATGGAGCCAACGACGTTCAACGCTAGAAATCAGCTGTGCGCTTGAATGTTATTGTTATGCTTTAAAGTATTTTCCTAACCTAGCTTTTGTTTGTAAAAGAACGTTACTGTTAGAAGATGAGTGAAATGGATAATGAAATATATTGTACATAAACCTATGTATATTGTCGGGTCAGGTAAAATCTTGTACGTTACACGTTACGCAAGAGCGTGTTTACATCACTTAGGTGAATTATGCAACTCGCTTCCGCTCGTTGCACAACATTCACTTGCGTGATGTAAAAACGCTCTTACTACACTTGTTATGTAAATAGCTATTACAGCATCATTTGTAATTCAAGGATGCCTATGCAAGTTATTTAGTTGGTTATATACTAAGATTTCTTTGGATGGTTTATAAATTGCATTTGCAGCATATCAAAGGAAGATTTGTCTTAAGGCCTAATAGGTTATGGCCTAAAAAGTGGTTTTCTAACAGGAACTTCTCCCTCAGTTTTAAGCAATTTTAAAAATATTGGTTCTACGGATAAAGCTCAAAGTGTTTTCTGCAAAATTCAAAGGAAGTTGACATTACAAGGGAATAGAAGTAGCTACACTAACGTTTCACATATCTTATTTTCTTTTAATCAGAGTTTGTCAGTAAATGACGTCCATGAGACAAATCACGGAAAATTTTCCATCATGATTTAAAAACTTGGTTTTTTACTAACTGATCTTGATAGAAAATGTCTGCAGTAATCTCTCAGATATTGTTTTTGATTTTGTTTTTTTTAGAATAACTTTAATCACAGAGTGAGTACCCAAATGAGCTTCAGAGGCTAGATCATTACAAGGTACGCATGTCCTTGGCTCTTGTCCCTTTGGTGTCTTACTGCACAGAAAACGTACTACTATAACCCAGAAGCATAGCAACGCTGGTGGCACTGCCTACGGATTGACAGGCAAAGCTCTCTCAAACCGCTTAATGCTTTTTACCATGCGGTTGGCATTCTGGGTTATAGTAGTACGTTTTCTGTGCTTACTGTGTAATGCAAGACACCATACAGTAAGATCAATGATTGCAGAAGAACTACGGAAAAAAGGTTGGCAAGTAGTAGAAGAAATACATTGCATTGAAGATGGTGGATCAAACAGAAGATTGGACATTTTAATATATGACACAAAAACTAAAAATGGAATTATAATTTATCCAACTATAAGGGTTGAAATATAAAAAAAACCAACCCTTAGAAGTAGATGAAGAAAAGAGAAAAATTTTTAGTAAATGTGAAAATTATTTAAGAAACAAATATAATCTAAATTCTATATCAGTTATTGGCATAATGATTGGTGCAAGAGGGACTATTACAAAATTTTTTGACAAATTTATAAAAAATATAGCCTAATGTTCGATCAAAATAAAAAAAAAGAAATGGTCATAAAAGTGTTAAAAGGATCATGTGAAATCATTCAAAATCATTTACATTATGGACAACATTAAAATACTTATTATTGTTACTGTCTCTTATAGGCAAAGTTTATTATAATAAACTCAGTTTTCAAAATAAAAAAATAACATTTCCCCTTACTATGATCATAGACAAAAAGAATTAAATACAGACTGTCAGCCGTGCTGTGGTTACCATGGGTTCTGGCGCAGACCACTGGAAGCGCCGTGTAGTTACGTAGCGTATGCCGTTACAACAGGGCGCTCCCTGCGGTGTGCGCCAGAACCTATGGTAACCGCAGCACAGCTGACGGTCTATATTTAATTATTTTTATCTATGCTATGATACACAGGATATTAATACAGTCGTCACTGATCAGTGATCATAGGACTAGTTTGCTGACTTTGAAATTTCTACGTCCAAATCGAAGGGTCTTTTTATAATGTATTTCTCGTCCTCGGATTGTATAAGCAAAGAGCATAACATAATATTGCCTTAAATATAGGAGGTAGGCCTAAACTTTTACCCACGGATACTCGGTACTCATTAACATGAACATACTAACTTATGGTCTACATAAACCGACTGAAGCTTAACAACATGAAACCTATAGAGGGTACAAACAAAAACAATTTTTGGATACAGTTCCGCAGATAACCCAGGATATATTATAATGATAAATATATCAATATTTATTTGGTTCGATACAATATTTTGTAATAATATATTTGAATCATATAAACGTCAGTATTTATTGTTATTCATCTGATAATATAACTTATGGATTCTCTGCGGAACTGTACCCTAATTCATATTTTCATATTTTTAACATTATCAATCAATATCGTTTTACTTAAATAGGCAATAGATACCTGTACTATATTGGATACAGAAGGTACTACTTAATCTAGAAAATTTAATGATGATAAGTAAATATCCTAAAGAAGAAGGACACAGTTTAAAGAATAATGGCAAGCAATTACTATTTATAAATTATTATTTATAAATTAAAATAGGCTAATTAATTATAATTGCCAATTATGTTGGATATTCAAGGTAATACAAATTATTTTAAATTAATACAAAATATAACAATTACAATACAAATACTTGCTTTGTTTTACAACTGCTTTCAGTGACATTTTGATAAACAGTAAAATCTCACTTATCTTTTAGTTGATTTGTGTGCCTGTTTGATTTGGTCTTTAGGTCTTTAATCTGATCTGACAGGTGTGTCTCTTGCGGGAACGGAACACACTCTTGTTTTGCTACAGGTGGTTACCCCCACCCCCACCTGAGTCAGATACTGGGCAGGCTAAAATAAATGGAATCATGCAACCAGGCTGAATGCAGCCTATACAGTAAATTATTAATATTGCAGTAAATGTATTGAGAATCAGTTTCTTTAGGTGTTCTTGTTTCTATTAAAATAATTTTGTTTCTATTATTTTAGTGTTAATTTCATGATTTGCACTTTACTGCTTGGTTATATTAGGAGACGAGTTACTTGTGATTAGATAGTTTTATTTGGTTAAAAGGTTTAAAATTACCGAAATAGCAAGAAACAAAATAATTTTTAACAAAACACGACCTCTACCTACAGTGCACAGGATAGAAATAACAAGTAACAATAAATAACATTGTTTGGCCGTGATTTTGCTGTGCCATAGAGATGAGACATCTACTAAGGGAGTGCGTTGCTTTATATATACCTATATATATATATATATATGTATATATATATATGTATATATATATATGTATATTTAAAGTGGAAAATTTAGGCTACATGTCACTTCCTTCAAATTGTTTGTTTAATTTCTTTCTATTACGTGTTTTGATCGATGTATCATCACACTGAAAGTCCAAATTAGACCTTCAATGTCCCAATAGAGTATTCTATAAAAAAATTTGTATAAACATTAATACTGAACGACTAAAATGAGAACCTACGTCTTCGTGGAACTTATCTTCGCCACTAAAATTGCGGTAACAAAAATTGGGACCAAGAGATTTTTTTTTTAATTTGAACACTGAGCTATAAGAATAGCTCAGTGAATTTGAACCTCTTTCAAAAAGTTTGACTCTTCTTAAGGTCGATTCACACACATCAGTTACGGAACGTCACAGTCCAGTCACTTCAGGCACGTCACAGTTAACAAAAATATTCTTTAATGGATTTTCTATAGCGCTATCTACACTCATCCGTTGCAGTTCCGTCAGTCACTCTGCTGGCATCCGTCAGTCAATTTCAGATTTCTTTCCAACGATACTTTTTGATTGTTCGGACGCCTGACGGAACTGTTAGAGGTTAGAAAATAGTGTTATTGTTATTTAAATGGTTGTGTTTACATTTTGAATACTGTTTGTAACAATTAACAAGATGGACAATGATAATTTGATAGAATATAGGTTTATAACTTAAACATTTTCACTGTAAATTACTGTAAATTTCAGAGACGGAAGACTGACTGAAACCAACAGACGGAAAATTGACTGAGAAATTGCGGATGCAACTGAGACTGGACTGTAATGTACTGTAACGGAACTGTGACTGAACTGATATGTGTGAATCGACCTTTCTTGTTTTTATTTTTGTTGATTTTCAAATGTAATGTCAAAGTTTTAGGTTAAGTCTGTTATTAAAAGGAATACAGTACAGTTAGTTTAGTAACTTGCTAATATTCCCAACGACAACGACAACGACTTTCTTAACTACATTCAGATCAAACAAATCAAGGTAGGTCTAGGTCTGGATTGAATTAAAGCAACCATTTTCCTGTTAAATTAAAAATTAATTAATCAATGTAAAGATAGGACTAAGTTAGCCTTAGCCATCAAAGAGCAAGCGGAAGTGGGTAGTGTTGGGATATCGAAAGAAAATATCGATATTTATATCGACGATAATATCGGAGCCTCAATATCGATATTCCGATAATATCGGACCAAAAATATCGATATATCGGAAAAATATCGTTAAAAATTAATGGAATTGGAATGCTAACGCAATGCTTCCCTTTAACAGGAAATTACCTTAACAAACAATTAAAAAAAACTAGGTGAAACCCGTCGAAATCGACGGTTACTTTCAAGGCTTCTAAATCATCTAACTGCGATAAATTGGGCGAAATATACATATTTTGAGCATTTAGCATTGTTTAAAGAGTAATAAGTGTAAAAACAATCATGATTTTAATTGCGTTAGTTGACACATTTAGTTGATCATTCAATCAATAAAATATTCCCCATAAGTAGGCCTACTTCATCGGAGTTATTATTAGTATGTTATATGGTATCTCTTCCTTTGGAAGAACCTTTAAATAGTATTAAAATGAACTCGGCAAAGAGAAACAAAATTTAACTCCCATAAGAAATACATGGGGAGCAAATTTCGTTTACGTAGAAATCGCGTGGAATTATAGATACATTGATGCCGATGCTTGATGGCAAATCTGTACGTGCATACCTTCAATTCGAGACCTCAATCATGAAAATCGGTCGGGTAGAAGAGCCAAACGAACTCGGCAAAGAAACCCCAAATTTAAATCCCATAAGAAATACATGGGGAACAAATTTCGTTTACGTATAATCCGCGTGGGATTATAGATACATCTATGCCGATGCTTGATGGCAAATCTGTGCGTGCATAACTTCAATTTGAGACCTCAATCATGAAAATCGGTCGGGTAGAAGAGCCAATCGAACTCGGCAAAGATAAACCAAATTTAACTCCCATAAGAATAACATGGGGAGCAAATTTCTTTTACTTATAAGCCGAGTAGGATTATAGATAAATATATCCCGATGCTTGATGGCAAATCTGTGCGTGCATACCTTCAATTTGAGACCTCAATCATGAAAATCGGTCAGGTAGAAGAGCCAATCGAACTCGGCAAAGATAAACCAAATTTAACACCCTTAAGAATAACATGGGGAGGAAATTTCTTTTACGTATAAGCCGAGTAGTATTATAGATAACTATATTCCGATGCTTGATGGCAAATCTGTGCGTGCATAACTTCAATTTGAGACCTCAATCATGAAAATCGGTCGGGTAGAAGAGCCAATCGAACTCGGCAAAGATAAACCAAATTTAACTCCCATAAGAATAACATGGGGAGCAAATTTCTTTTATTTATAAGCCGAGTAGGATTATAGATAAATATATCCCGATGCTTGATGGCAAATCTGTGCGTGCATACCTTCAATTTGAGACCTCAATCATGAAAATCGGTCGGGTAGAAGAGCCGATCGAACTCGGCAAAGATAAACCAAATTTAACTCCCATAAGAATAACATGGGGAGCAAATTTCTTTTACGTATAAGCCGAGTAGGATTATAGATAAATATATGCCGATGCTTGATGGCAAATCTGAGCGTGCATACCTTCAATTTGAGACCTCAATCATGAAAATCGGTCGGGTAGAAGAGCCAAACGAACTCGGAAAAGAAAAACCAATTTTTTTTAATATATAAGATGCGTTTGAAGATATTAAAACAAAGGAATATATATACAGACGGTTTGGTAAAAAATATCGATATGTCATCAAAAGAAATCATTGATATAAAAATGTCCCTTTAGAAGGAAAGTACCTTTGTTAATACTGAACAATATTAGCCTATCCTTATCGAAGTTGTCAGCTGATATGTTTTAATTTGTTATAATCAATATATCGGATAGAAAAATAAAATATCGATATTCAAAAAGAAATAATCGATAATAATGAATGTTCCCTTTAACGGGAAAGTACCACCATGAACAGCAGTTAGCTGCACACATATGACGTTAAATTGTTTACAATTTATAATTTTTTAGGCTTGTGTACAAAAAAATATACAACAAATGAGAATTTAATGGTTTTGTTTGGTTTTCACTGCCGTCACCTCATTTTGGCACTCCACTTCTGCCAACGTGCCAACTCACTATTCAAATGCAGGCAGAGGCAACCAGATTAAAAATATATTTTTAACTAGATAGGTACATGAAATAGTTTGTGTGTAGGCCTACAAATAAATTTGTTATTAATAATATTTAATAACTGCTAAACAAGTTCAGAAAAGATTAAACTGTATTTTATTCTTGCATTATTCTTTGAAAAATTGCTAAAATTAATTCTAACGATAATATCGAAGTAAAATATCGATATCCCGATAATATCGGAAGTCTAATATCGATATAAAAAAATCGATATATCGGAACCAAAATATCGATATTTCCGATATATCGGATATCGATACCAAACACTAGAAGTGGGTACAGTTTCAAACACAACTGGACTTGGGCTATGCTAATATCAATCGAAACTATCGAATTGAAAACATCTTTTGATAACTTATTTCTACAATATCAATTAGCCTATAAAATTAAACTGTCATAACCTAAACTAACCAAACTTGCTGATAGTGAAAAAAATCGAATCAAGGTTTACCAATCATATCGATAGTTTCAATCCGTATTAGCATAGCCTGTACCCGAGCAAGTTTACTTATTTTGAATGGTCATTTTTGGTCAGAATTGCGTTTTTACTTATTTATTTAGCTTACTGCTATGATTATGCTTGGTTCAATAATTATGCTTGACCACAGCCACCTCTAATTTTGACCCTTAGAGGATTTTACAATAGGACTGGAGAGCCGGAGTACCAGTACTTGCTTTTTATTAATTCAAATAGACTATAAAATGTTTACTGTATTTCCTATTAAATGATATTTTATTACTGCTATTTACCTTCAGTATCAAACCGAAAATGTTAGTGGCTCAAATTTTAGGCTCAAAACAAGATTTTAGACATTCATGCATGTCTTTGTAATCTTACAAGTTTCTTTTTTTTCTCTCCTGCCTACGCCAAGCCAAAGTTAGCTGTAACACTTAAAGAAAAGCGGTCCAAACTCAAGTTTTATGGATGTGCTAGGAATTTAACCAATGAATGTTAAGTTAGATTGAGTCAGTAATTTTGCATATGAATGTAGAAAACATATTTGGGTTAACTTAGTGTGTTTAGGCATACAGGTTTGCAGAGAACCTAGGATATTTTTATCCGATGAGATTTACTGTATCGTATATTATTTTCACTGATATAATATTGATTAAGTATGTATTGAATATGAACATTTTAAGCCATAGGGTCTTTTTTTAGTACGGTATTGGCTGCACTTAAGTATACGTCCTAAATTTACTCACATACT